AGTGTTTCCAAGAACCGCTCATCCTTGTCTGAGGATCCCACTCTGCCCTCTCTGCCACAGCCACAGCTCCTTCCCTCGGAGGCCTGGCTGACTCCAGAAAGCCCACTTCCCAGCCCCGAGAAGCCACAGCTGGAACAGGCTGGGCTTTCTCAGACCCCCAACGGAAGGCCCAGAAGCTGCAGTTGCTGTTCCTGAACGACACGGCAGCCCGACAGAAACTCTTTAATGCGGCTGCCGGGGTCTCGCCACCTCCCTCACGGCTGCTGAGCGGGGGCGCCCAGGGGTCCAGGGTCGGGAGCACACGGAGGGTCCGCTCACCACACAGCCTGGGACCTGCCACCAAGGCCAAGGGTGGACACACATACACATTCTGTGTATATGTCTGCCTGTCCTCCACCTTTCCATCTGTCCGTTTAGTTGGCTCCTATCGTGTGCCAGACCCTGCGGTGTGCATGGCAGACGGCCTCAGCCGATTTGAGCACAGGGGGCCCCGCTGGAGCCTCTCAGTGGCAGGGCTCCCTGGTGTGTCCCCCAGCAGAGGAATGGGTGTGTCTGAGTCTCCACCCACATTGGTCAAAAGGCCGAGTGAGGGCAGGGGCTCGGCTTCCAGGGCCATGGGCAGAAGGGGCTTCCCTAGAATATAGATCAACACCCTGCGAACCCCCACACACGAAAGCCCACCAACAGGCATGCTCACACAGGACGGCCACCCCTGCCTGCCTGGGGACCCTGTCCCGCAAGGAGACTTGGCTCGTACAGACGGGTGGTTGTATAATGCCCAGCGGCCCCAGACCTGCCTCGAAACCAGCTGCCAAGGTGGCCTCGAAACCGGTGTATGGCCTCACCTGGCCCAGGGACCCACCGGCCCCAGCCCAGTCCAGCCAGCCGACTGCCCCAGAAGGGTCTGCTTGGCTCACACCAGTCGGCCCAGTCTTGGGGCCCTGGCTCTGCCGGGCCCCACCCCTGCCCAGGCCATGGGCCTACTCTGCCCAAGTTCATCCGCATCTCCAAGTGTGTGCCGCCCACACCCAGGTCTCCAAGTGCTGACGTGGGTTCTCCAAAGTTCAATGATGGTTCCCCTACCCAACCTCTGGGCCAGCTGCCAGGCTGCACGACACCAGGCTTGCTCCAGCAGACCTACAGGGAGCAGGCCTCACCTGGCCCCCTTGGTCCCCTGCCCTGGTGGGGACGGGAAGGGGAGAGTGGGGGAGCCTGCTCTATTTTTACCAGGAGGTAAGCAGCCAAGTGTGTAAGGGAGACAGCAAATGGATCTATAAATATTTATCCCAAGGAAGAGGGAAGCAGAAACTCCCAGGGCTGCACTTGCTGCTGGTGACACCCCCTCCCTGGGCTCCCACCCATCCTGGAGCCTCGAGGCACTTGGGCCCACCCAGGCCAGCCCACCCCCTCCTGCTCTCCGGCGTGTGCCTGGCTCGGTCCCTCCTGGGCCCCCACCAGCTGTGATGCAGCTGTGCACCCAGGGCCCACCCCCCGCCCACAGGCCGCTCTGCTCCGCCTACACCCCCCACACCTGCCCTCCAGCTGCCGCTCTGCCCCAGCCCACCTGCCTTCCAGATGTTGCCCTCCCTCTGACTCTACTGCCGATCCCAGGGGTAGAGGTGGAGAAGGCGTGTGGGCCTGGGGTGCAGGGCAGGAGGCAGAGGCTAGGGCAGCGGGTGGGGAGTATGAAGGAGCCAAGGTCCGAGCTGCTCGCCCATCCGCCTTCCGGCCCACTCCGTGGGGTCCTCCTCCCCTCCCCCTCCATCAGGGCGCTGGGACATACAGACTACCCCCCTCGTGGTCTGACCCCAGGCTCCTGTCCATGTAAACATTCCCCCGACTTTCTTCCCTAAAATATAAACGCCGTGGCCGGGCCTCAATGGGAGGAAGCCATCCGTCCCCGGCCCTGTCACTGCCCCTTTCATCTCCTTCCCGCCACCAGCCTGCCCGCTGCTCTATTTACACTGGACACTTCCTCTGGGAACAATACTGCCCAGGAGGCAGGCTTGGGCCAGGGGGTGGGAAGGCGAGGGGAGTCCTGCACTGCTTACCCAGGGCCGGGCTCCAGAAAGGAGGCAAGGGGCGGGGCAGCGGAGGTGAGCCCCAGTCAGGCTGGGGGAAACAGGAGAAACTGGGGAAAGGAGCGACGGGTACCCGCACGTGCGCAGCCGGCCCAAGGGCTCTCCTAGCTTCTAGTCTCTGGCCCCGGTGCCTCCGCATCAGTGGGGTGAGCCCCAGGAGGCAGCACAGCACGAGGGCATAGCCTGGCTCTCCCGCTTGTTGGTGGAAGGGCCCCAGGCAGGCTCCCGCCCTGGGAAAGGGCCACAGGACTGTAAGGTGAGAGGGTTCTGGCAAGCAAGGACCTGGAAGAAGGCAGCTGAGCCCTGAGAGGGACAAGCAAGCAGGTGTGGTGCACCTCTAGGCACAAGATCCCAAGACCAGGAAACTTCACCGGGGCCAGAAGAAAGAGGGGACACCAGAGAGGCTGGGGGGCTGGGCTGGGCTGGGGGCAGGCTGTCCACTCAGCAACAAACGACCCCTTCCCAGGTCTTCCGACCTCCTCTCCCTGGGCTCCAAACTCAACCAGCCCCCTGCAAGCAGTTCTCCTGTGTAAGCTGAACAGATCCTGCTCAGGGTGGAGGAAAGGAGGGGCAAAAACCAGACCATGCACATCTCCAGGTACGGTCTCCTGGTGCCTCGTGATGACCCCGTGAAGCAGGCACTGTCATCATCCCATTTGATAGAACAGGCAACTGATCCCGGAGCCGTGAAGACACCCAGAGCCCAGGCTCACAAGGGGCCCGGGCTCTGCCAGGAGCTGGGCAGCCACCGTGTCCCCAGTTGAGGCTTCTGGGTGGGCCCTAGGAAGTCCCAGGCCTCTCTTCCCATCTCCTCCTCACTCCCTCTCCTGGTTCCCATAACACGGAGCCCCCTAAAGTGTTAACTGCGATGGGTAAAATGGTGCAGCAGATTGCTACAATAAATAATTTACTGATATTTATAAATATTCAAATCAGCCAGCTTCAGAAATCAAATGAAGGGAGGGCCTCGGGAGAAGGGCCCGTTATGGCAGGAACCTCATCACTCCCTCCAAAGGCTGGGGAAGGCCAGGGCTCCTGCCAGTTACGGGGGAGACAGGGGGGCTCCTACCACTGCACCTGGGCCCCCTGTCCCTGATCTCTGGGTATGAAGGGGTTGGGGGTGGCTGGAATGGCTCCACCTCCTTGCCAGGTTGAGGCCAGACCCTCCCCTGCCCCGGGCAGCCTGTGTCAAGGGGTCGAGAGGCTCCAGTGCCCAGTGCCCACTGCCTGGGGCTCGAAGTTGCTTGTTCTGCCCTGGGTGGGGGGGGGCAGTCCCTGGGGGCTGGGCAGGCCTGGCAGCAGCCCCCCCCCCCCAACTTGTGAGTAATGTGTTTCGGGGCCGGGCGGCCTGTCAGCTACCAGGCTCCGGGTGCTTTATGGGCTCTGCCTGGTGGCTCTGAACTCCCTGGTAGGAAATAAAGTTCTCCCTGTGCGTCCCTTCTAAACATTTCACTCAGTGGAAACGGTGTTTAAGAAAAATGAGGACATATTTCTTCCTAAGGATGCAGTGTCCCCTTTGGGCAGCCTAATGCCCGCTGTATATCAGGAGGTGGGGAGGCAGGGGCCAGGCACCGGTCCCCTGGGGTAGGGATGATCCGGGGCCCCCCTGCCTGCTGCCAGGCAGCTCAGGGGCCACAGACACTGCCAGGCCACTGGTGGCTGCCCTGTGGCACGGCCCAGAGTGACAGGGCGGCTGGCACCCTCTGAACACCTCCCCTGTACCAGAGACCGTGCTGAACACTTTCTGACGTCAACTTCAGTGACCCACCCCCCCAACATCTCCATGAGGCTGTTGACCTGTCCCCATTTCCAGATGAGGAAGCAGAGAGAGCCTGGTGAGATTGGTAACTGCCCACGGTCACTCAGTGTCAGTGCTGGAATCGGACTCCCATGGGGCTCGGACACCCAAGGCCACGGTCTAACACCCCACATGCCCCCCTCCCGGCTCCCCAGCCTCCCAATTGGGGTGGTGGCAATGTCGGAGCTTCCACGCTGCCATCCCTAAGAACTTGAACTTGACAGGCCCCAGTTTTCAAGTGATGCATCTATGTTCATTCAAGACACCCTCTGAGCTCCTTCTACAGGCCAGGCCCTGGGCTCAATCCTGAGGACAGCATGAGAGCAAGACAGACTGTCCTGGTTCCTGCCACCACGGGCAGCTCAATTTAGACAAGGGGACAGATGTTCAAGCCACCATAAGCGCAATCACTGTGGTGAAAAGTCCAGGTGCCACAGGAACAGCGAGTCTGGGAAGCAAGGAAGGGTCCCTAGAGACATGTGCTCCCCCCAAGCTCCCCGACCATCCTTCCCACCTCTCTCCTCACCTCCCCCACCAGCCAATTTCTGTGTTAACTCCCCTATCTCCTCCAGCTGTGACCCCCTACCCCAGCCAAGACCTGTCCCATAGGAAAAGGTGTCCTTCTCTCTTGGGCCTGAGCCCTCCCCTCCCAGCTCAGAACAGAAGGGCCGCCCAGCTCGTGCAGGTAGGAGGGTGGTCACTGCTCCCCGGGACTCTCAGCCAGGCCCCCTGGTCCCCAACAGCTCTAAGACGGGAAGTGGGGGGGCCAGGCTGCTGGGCCCTACTTGCCCCCCTTTGTTTATTTATTTATTATGATTTTTTAGTCCAGTTAAAAGGTTTACTATCCAGACGCGTCTAAGTGGCCTCACTTAGCGTAAGTAACTCTATAAATCAGGGGCACTGTTAACATCCACCGCACAGGCTGGCTATCAATCTCCCCCAGGTCACAGCCAAACAGGAAGGGGAGAAAAAAAGAGTTACCACCCAGGGGAGATTTAAAACACACACATACGGCACACACACAGACCGTGCACGCGCGCGCACACTCGGGCGTCTCCGTGTTTGTGCAATCATATTATAATTCACACGTGCACATGCAGAACGGCCCGGAAACTGGCAACGCCGAGTGTGGTCACGGTAACACAGCACCAGCAGGGTTCCCGCGGCCGAAAGGGAGTCGGAGCCTGAGGGAGGGGAGCCTCCAAAGGGCCCCCAGGGCCGGGCTCTCGTGCCTGAGCTGCCCTGGCCAGCCAAGTGGCTCTCGAGGGCTGTGGAGCGTCTCTGCTTGGTCCCCTCCCCTCTCTGTGGCCCCTGCCACTGCAAACCCAAAGGACCAAGCTTTCCCCTTTTGTGTGCCCAAGGTGAGCCCTCGGCAGGGAGGTGGAGCCAGAGGAAAGAGGCAGGGAGGCTGTGGGCTGCAGGCCCCCGCAGCGGGGCATGCTGCGGTCCCTAGGTATTCACCAGCCGTGCCCGAGGCCGGACACACCCCAGACGCAACACGCGGAGCGGCCGGCTGCCTCGGAGGGTGCTGAGGCTAGCTGGGCGTCCAGAGCCGCTCTTCCGCAGGAACACCCCACCTTTTGACTGGAGTACGTGCGGCTGGGCGCACAGAGCTCGGACACAGGCTCCCACCCCATCCCCAGAGGGGGCCCCATGCCTGGAAGGACCCACCAGCTGGGCCACACCAGGCACCCGAGTGGGACAGGCCTCTCCTGGCACCCTCTGTGGATCCCCAAGACAAGGCAAGGCAGCCCCAGGGTGGAAGGCCTGCCCGGGGCCCACCTCTCCCACCTCGCCCCGGAGGCCTCCTGGCTCACCCGCCCGCCTGCCCGCCGCATCTCCCGTGAACTCTATTTCTCTTTCCTCTCTGAAAACAACTGAGCTGTAAATACTGTTTAACCTTCTCCCCCCCTCCCCCCCACCCCCTCCCCTCCGCACTATAAAAACACAAATATGCCATAACTCAGCCGGCCCGGCCGCCCAGCCTCCAACATGCCCCGCGCCCGGGCCTCTCAGGAAGGTCATTACAAACGACTTTCCGATTCACTGCTCCTGAAATAATTTTGTGTATTAAAACCTGAATCTGCACTTTCTGGGGCCGAAAGCCTCGCTTAATTATGGCGGGTGTCCTTGGGACGGACAGTGATCCTTCACTCGCCAGCCCGCTCCAGCCCTCCGCCCGCCAGCCCGCCCCCCTCCCTGGGCCCAATCTGTTTTCAAAGTGTGTCTGTCCTTTATTAAATTGTTTTCTTTTCCACATTATCAGTTGCCATGGAGACCTCATCTCTCGGATTATTTGAATTTCATTATATCTATTGATTTGGGAGCATTTCATCTTTTTTATTGTTTTTCTGTCAATTTTCAAAACGAATAACCATCTAATTTGCGTCAGTGCTGATTATGTTTGTCCCTCAATAGAGGTCGGCAGCTGCGCTGGGGAAACAAATCAATGAAAAACCATCATAAAACTCCCCACTCCAGTCTCCGGGATGTGTGGGTGACATTCCACGCCTGTGAGAAACACACTCATCAGCTCCAAGTTCGGCTACGGAGGCAGCGGCACCGCTCCACGTCCGCCTCCTCTGGCCTTAATATTTAATTTCGCGATTTGGGGCATTATTAGTGGTGTTTTTATTAGTGCGTGTGCATGTGAGTGTTTGGTGGTGGGCCGGCTGTTCCGTTAATTTGTGGGTGAGGCTGGGAAACCCCAGAGGAGGGCAGGGCAGAGGGTGCTAGGGGTGCGGTGGG